CTTTTTGAATTCCAATATGATTATAACATGAAATTTCATGGGAACCACTGCACTCTTGCTAACATATGAGTGTTCAATCATCAATTCATTCAACAGATATTTATTGAAGGCCTGCCCTATGCCAGGCATTACAAGTAAAAGCGTACATTCTATATACTACAATTTTGTAATGACTGCTTAGAAGGACCTGGAAAATGTGGGAAGGCTGCTGAGGCCAATATAAAGGTTTGTATTATCATAGTACCTAATATCTTCCACTCTACCACATCTGAGAAAGGGCCCTGTGGCAATTCAGACTTATCAATCAAAATCATACAGCTGAGTTAGGAAGAAGCAGGGACATTTCCACAGCATATACCATACGATCTTACAAACAGCTCTTCAGCTAAAATCTGTGCTTGTTAAAGAAACTCCCAGAAGGAATTTTTTTTTCCATGTTCCACAGTATGGGACTTTCTCTTGATTTTTAAAAATTAATTTCTAATAATAAGGGTCATAAAAACATATGTTCCAGAATTCTAAAAAAGTGTGAGAACATCTCATGGGAGAGACACTTGGGACCCATTGTTCTACACTCCTCTTTCTGTTGTCCCATGCCAAGAACAGCTGGCTTCTGGAAAGTCATGAAATGTGGAACGAATCTTGTCCTAAAGCAGAGTAGGAAGTAAAAATAATCACCATGATCTAAATTCACTTACACTTCTCCTCCCTCTCTCCAACCTGGGGTGGTAGAGAGTACAGAAGGCAACAAAAGACTGAGCTGCTCACAGCCTGTCTAAAGCCACCATCCCCCAGACCCTGTGCTATGCATAGTGAACCTCTTCCCTCCCCTCCTAACCAGAAAAGAGAAGAATCCTAAAGGAATGGGATGCAGAACAAGTAATTTTTGGCTAAAGGAAAGTTTCAGGAAAATGTTCCTTAACTTTCCTAGAAACAGACTTCACAGCATTATCTCAGAATGACTGAATGAATCAATCAATCTAAAGTGTTTCTCCTGCTTTTTAAATGTTTGGTCCATTTTATTAATATACTCCATTAATGGCTAATAAAATGCCTATGTTTAGTAATCATATAATTGCATTTATGCTCATAAAATTCTCTAAAAGTGAAGATGTCTTGATAACAAAGTAAAAGATATAAGAAAAAAGCAGTATTTTTTTCTTTCTATATTCTCACACAACACTCAACACCACACTTCTGACACCAGAGGTATGGGGGGTTTTCCCCACACACCAAGAAATTCTGCAGATTCTCTATCGGATACCAGGTGGGTGTCCTTGACCCCTATTTAACTGACACTAACGATCTGGAGATTATATCAGATCCCACAGGTTGACTGCTCAGTCTCACAAGCTTTCAGATACCAATCTCAAGCCCCGGATGTGACCAGCTACGAACCAAGATTCCTACAACCTCTTCCCCAGACTCAATTAATTTGCTAGAGCAGCTCACAGAACTCAGGGAAACACTTTAATTACATTAACTTATGTCGCAAGCCCCGGATGTGACCAGCTACGAACCAAGATTCCTACAACCTCTTCCCCAGATTCAATTAATTTGCTAGAGCAGCTCACAGAACTCAGGGAAACACTTTAATTACATTAACTTATTTATTATAAAGGATCTTACAAAGGATACAGATGAACAGCATAGGAGGAGATGGAAGAGATATGCACAGTGCAAGACATGCAGACGGGGTGCAGTTTCTATGCCCTCTCCAGGCACAGCACCCTTCAGGAACCTCCACGTGTTCAGGCATCCAAAAGCTTCTAGACCCAGTCTTTCGGGTTTATATGGAGGCTACGTTACATAGGCATGATTAATTAAATCACTGGCCATTGGTGATCAATTCAACTGTCAGCCCCTCTCCTGGGAGGTGGAGCTGAAAGTTCCAACCCTCTAAGCATGCCACTGCAACCTGAAACTATTTGGGGGCCCGAAAGATTCATTAGCACAGAAAAGATACCCTTGTCACTTCAGAGAATCCAAGGGTTTTAGGAGGTGTGTGCCAGGAAAAAGGATGAAAGCCAAACATATATTTTACAATATCACACAAAGCAAAATTACATTTTTCCCTTTCAGACCCTAATACTACTAAATGGTGATAAACAGACTTCTTAGCTAGTAAGAAAAAATGAATAATTTATAATAGATCACCAGAAAATAAAACTGTCTATAAAGAAATCTGAATTTGGGTAAGCACCAAAAATCAAGGAACATAACTGTTTAGATCTAAACTCCCTATCTGCTCTGGACTCTCTTGGTTTATGTCTATTATCCTGGCATAATTACTAAGTGTGCCCACTTCTACTCTCAAAAATGGCACAGTTTGGAGAAGTGGCTGTACAACACCCTATTTGGGGATATAAAGATTGCTAAATATTCTTTGACAAGGAAACGTTAAGGTTTTCAGAAACTTGGGTACATACAGAGATGCTTTGCACAATCTGCTTTTCAACTCACCAATTTTGAAAGAATTAAAAACATTTTAACATTCACAGCTGTAAAGTAATAAGGACTGGTCGACACTAAATATTTATGAAATATCTTCAAACATAAATGTGGAGCTTGGCCTTGCAACCTATACTGGGAACTTTTCTCTCCACCTCTATCCCCAATCTAGGGATCCCTGAGAATGGAACAGTGATTCAGCATTTCCAAGGCATTCATTAAAATGTGCTTCAGTGCAATGAAATCAGAGAGGCGAAAAAGAACATAATAAATAGACAATAATATCAAAACTTCTTTTCATAAAAGCAAAAATGATGAAATTATATACATTCTTACTGAAAAGTGTAAAACAGCTCAAGTGTGTCTCTCATCACTGTTATTAGGAAAGTCATTCTAAGACATAGCAGAAATCATATGGAATGCTTTTTGTCAACCAGTCCAAGAGATGCTAAAAAAACAGAAGTGAAAGGGAATCGCAGAACACAAAAGGAAATTCCAGGGCACCCGCCAAACAAGAACAACACTTGTTCATTTTATAAGTACAGCAACACTTTTTAGAATCATGCTTATCTTGTTATTGTGTCTCTTGGCAGACAGACCATGTCTTTCTCATCATTGTAACCTTTCTCTTATCTTTGAACTTTTAGCATACTGCTTTGCACATAAGAAATGTACAACAAATGTTCGTTGAATTAAACTAATAAGAAAAATGCTTTCAAATATAATATCTGTGTAAACATTCTTTCCAAAGTATAAAGCAAATTCAACCTCCACGGGGGAGGGGAGGAAGAATCATTCCAACAGCCAGTAGATATTCCATAGGGAGAAATCTAAGTGGTGGGAAAAGGTTTAATAAACCTTATTATCATAGAAAGATATATTATAGCCAAACCATGTCCCACCAAACAAAACAGCCACATAAAAGACAAGTATTAGTCAAAGCTTCCAACACCTGAGTTATAAAGCACCTCCACTGAAGTTTCTTTCAAGTCTCAGCTGAAAAGAGCTTAAGCTTTCTTTAAAATCAGCTTTGAGGCAATTGTTTTCCATTCCTCTAGCATTTTGTCTCATTCATAAGGAAAGCTATAAAATGGGCTCAATGCATTTTTATCAAGAAGGCCATGAATTTCCTTCCCTTAAAGACAACATTCACTCCTTCTATCAATAAGACAAACGGGTAGACATGATCTAGTAGTCAGCCCATTAAGTTACATGGAGCTTATGGGGAAAAGGGCTGGCAGAGAACAGAAACCCATTCATCTCAGCCACAGTGGCTAGGAGCCGCTGCACAATACCATGAAACAAAGTTAACTTCTCCAGTAATACTCAATATGAAGGAAGCATTTTCTCAAAGACTTGACTTATAAAAAAAAATTAGACATTCAGGCTGCCTGAATTTTCTATTAGCTACTTTCCAACTATGGGAAAGTCACATAAAAGCCTTAAATGTCTATCTTCCCATTTGTAAAATGGGGATAAATACTGCTACCACTTACCTATATTTCAGAAAACTAATAAAAACGATGTAAACAGCAGATACTTTTCTTAAATCCTAGATGTTCAGACAGTTCCTGCTCTTCTCAACTGAACAGGTGTAGTTCAAAATGAAATATTTAACATACAGACTCTACTTTCTGCTTGTGATAAAGAACAGAGGCACCGATAAACCATTGTGTAAACCTACTTGGGGTCCAAAGTATTATTAACTCCAGTGGAGAACACTAAGTAGGAAAAAAGATCCCTTAAACTCTTTGAATATTAAGCACCTTTGTCTTCCATTGAACACCTTCTTAAAAATCAGTTCCATTTTCTGAACCAACCTGAAAGTAAAGCAACTGCTCCAGATTGTCTTAAAAGATTATGCCAACCAAAACTAGTCTTCATATTATACAAACAATTTGCTTCTATTCACCATAATCTTTTTAAATATCAAATTGTTTACCTACTAAATATATAATGGAAAAAAAGTATTTTTTTCCTACTAATCAAGTAAAGAAAGAAAAAAGTTTAAATTTAAATACTCAATTTCTAAGTGGAAAAACTACGGGGAAACTGCAAATAGCTTCTCACAGCAATCTTCTGTGTGAACACTGAAAGCAGTTCTTATATCATGGGAGAGGGAAACTGCAGACAAATAGCTTCTCACAGCAATCTTCTGTGTGAACACTGAAAGCAGTTCTTATATCATGGGAGGTAGAGTGCTGCACCCTTACATAAAGCCTCACAGAAACAAGCCAGGTCCATAAACACGTTCACTTAACTACTGTTCAGTGCCCAATGCACCTGAAAGAAACATGGACCATGCTTCAGCTGTTAAGCGTACAGGGTGTCAGAAAAATCTAGTCCAGGTTTGGTCAGAAAAGAGAAACAGCAATCCCGTTCCAGTAGATCCCAAGTTAATTCCCTCCAGTTTCTCCCCTCTCAAAATATTAATTGCTTTCCTAATAAAATGCTGCAGTAAAAACTGTGAAATCAGATTCTGGCAGAAAATCAAATCAAAGGAAAACTCTTCAAGGCAGCTACTTTTGCATACCCAGCCTCCTGCCTACCTTATTATGCTTTTGCTGGTGTCTCGCCTTTGTGTCAAGAACATGATAAGGGCTTTCCGAGTCTTGGTTGATGTAATATATGAGTCTTGAAGGCAGTGTGATTTCTTTCTGCATTGCATTGCTGTAACTGATATTACTGCTGCTTTTCTGTTGCAATGTATTATCTTCATCTGCTAGGACTCCCAAATTTTTTTCTGCAGTTTCATTCCAATGCGGAGCTGGGGAGGGGAGTGGGCAGAAAGAACATACACAAACACACACATATATACCCCATAAATACATAAGCACTAAAATGCATTTTTCCATTAATTGCAAAAACAAAGTTTTCTATTTAGAGGCAGGTAAGAAGTGGAGACAACAAAGCAAGTTATTCCAACAATGAAATGGCCTGGATAGGTTAATATCCAGTAAGGCTTACACAGTCACGTACTGTTGATTTTGATTTATATTTCATGTACACATTTTCTAGCCAGTCTCAAATCTATACTTCTAAGTACTGGGAGGAAGGGACAGAACAGACTTGAGGGAAGAGTCATTAAATGAACATGCTCAGGAGTCCTGACGCTCATCTCCCACCCTTCTCTGAGTCTACAGAAGCTCAACTGTGCTCTGCCTCACAGTATCCCATCTGAGAGCTAAGAACACTCCTAAGACAACTTCAGTGCTGAATTCATGGACATGGAATGTTAATTGATTTTTTAAAAACGAAATGGACAAATCCCCTTTCTTTTTAACTTTGTGATGAGCAAAACTCCTTTGCCATGGAGGGATACAGATGCTGGCAGCTTTCCAATTTCTTTTTATTTTCCTGCCAAGGCCAGCTTTGTGTTTTCAGTGATTTCCAATCATCAACTTATTTATTAAACATTGTATTAACTGTCCACTATAATGGCAAGCATTTTGAGAAATTACAACCAACGGTCGTGCACGAAGTATGTCTTTGGCACCTTAATTCCTTGGTCCCTGCAGTATGCCTCCCGCACTAATTCCAACAGCACTGAATAAACCCGGTAGGAAATTTGAGGAAACAACCCATTGCCACTGTTATCACTGCACCCTCCCGCATTCACAGCAAGGCTTCACCGCCCGAGAAGCGACTTGCTCCCTCGCTGCATTTCCCATACACTCGTTTCCCTTCACAAGTTGCATAGAGAACACTGAGGGACCCAGGATCCACTAAACATCTCCCAGTGGAGCCCACAGTAATTGGAATGGGTTTTTAGTGAATGCAACATAAATGGACTTCCAAAGAGAACTGGAATGAATGGGGGTATGGGAGCGAGCAGGGTGGAGAGGCAGGCAGGGAGCACGGAAAGGCCGAGCCGGGGACGTGCCCGGAGCGCAGGGACCCGCGTGCCCTTCGCCTTCCTCTGCAGGGCCCCGCGGGGAAGACAACGCGAAGGGCCCGGGGCCATACCCACCGCTGGGTGCAGTAGCCCCCCAGGCGCGGGGTCGGGACGAGGCGGCGAGCGGAGGCAGCAGGAGAAGGACGAGGAGCAGGCGGCAGGGCGGCGCGCGGGCCAGGGCGCGGGCA